AAAAAATATATTGTTGAAAAAAAAATCACTTTTCATTAATTTCTGTAAACATATTCATGTGTTAATATTCTATACATCTCTTATCACTTAAAATTAGTATTATTTTGATGATCTACAAATAAACATTCATACTGAATTTAAAAAATATTTTAAGTTTTTTTATTGCTATTTATTTTCTATCGTTATCAAGTACAAGAATTATTTTAACATAATAAAAGTTATCTTCGGACTAATTTAATAAATATTATTTCAGCATATACCTATTAATATTATTATTTATCTACTGAAATTTACATTTGTAGTCCTTTTCACATTTAGTATTTTATTTTATTTTTTTTGTTTATTTTTTTTTTGATGGTAAATCTAAAATTAAAGGCATGATATGCTGAAATTCTCAGTCATGTTAGTAAGAAAATAAAATCCAAATAATGTTTTATTTAAATAATTTTAGCTCGGTTAAATTTTAAATCTTGGCCCTGCCCCTGATTATATTGATATTATTGAAGATAGTATAATTGAGTTAAAATTTGAGTTAGATTTTGAATTGAGAAATATTTTTTTCTAGTTTTCTTTTATAAACAAGCAAAGCCTTAGTGTTGTGTCATTCAAAATTTCAAGACAAGTTGAATAATTTACTTAGAGAACCTAGAAATACATATAATTTGATAGAATTGAATAAAAATCTAAATATTTAGTGTACGTGAAGGAGTAGTCGATTGGAAATAGCGAAGTATGCCTCACTTCGTGTCAATTCAATTGTACGTCTCTCTCTTTTTTTTCCAACGATAATAACTAACATTAAAAGCTCAAATCAGTTTTACAGTCGGGCTTTCAACTGAAAGCATACAACAAGGAAAAGAACAACTCAATCCTTTAATCTGGCCTCCAATCAAGAAAAACCGAATAGAGTTCAAACCTACCCATAAGCAAAGCTACAAGAGATAAAAGAAGACTTAAGTTAAAGAACATCACTAGCAAAAGTATTATAACAAGTATCAAAGTGCAAGAGCTCATTTGCTAGCTTCATGGCCACCCTTATGTGAGTGACAAAAACAGCAGCATTGGTTCCAGCCTCTTTGTGATGCCATCATTAGAGCCCACCTCAGTGCAAGAAGCCACCTACCTTACTCACAACCATAAAACCAGATTTCAGTCTTCCACTCTTGGGTTTCTTCTTCCTCCATCTCTGCTTTGAAAGAAACTTCCAGATGATGCAATGAGGAGCATAAGGCACTGACATGAAGCATCCAATGTCCTACCTTCCTGAAAAATGTCTCCTCCTGAACCATTGGCAGTTGAACAGGGGGGTAGTAGCTCTGTTGGAATTCTGACTCAAATCCCCGAACTCTAACCACTCAGCAATAGCACTTGCCACAATCTGTCTTTCATTTACTCTTTTATTCTGGAACTCCCACAAATTTCTAGTCCTCCATAACCACCAGAGGATATAGGAGGATAGAGAAATTCTATCTTTGATGTTACCCCCATGAGGTGCAGTGCACAGATCACCCCACCAATCTCCGAAGGACAAATTTTCAGATTCAAAAGCATTCCAAGATAGTTTGATTGACTAACACCTCCAAATGAAATGTTTGATTTTGAGCTTGATAGGCAGATTCCAAGTTTTCTTCCAAACCTTAACTTCTATACTACCCCCAGAACTAGAGCTAGCCCTCTCACCTAACTTCAACCTATGATCTAAAAAAGCATCATAGGCTGATTTAACATAAATCTCCCAAACTTCCCAAAGAACCATGTGAACTTGACTTTTTTTCCAACCAGAGAAAGGGGAACTTTAAGAATGGTTTTGGCATCCCTCAGGGCTGAAAGTTTTATTGACTAACTCAATGTCCCAACCCCCATTGCTCACATTCACTAGATCACTCACTCTACCCAAATTAACATCATCCCCAGAAAAACAATTAATGGGAGTAGGGTTATGAAGTCTAGGTAACCAAGGATGGTCCCATATAGTATCGATTTCCCATCACCCAGTTGACATCTGACACCTAATTTAAAGAACTTCAACACACTCACCCAACTCTTTCAGAGCCAAGAGTCCTCATTCCTAGGTACTACATCAAGCAAAGGGGTCTGATAAAAATATTCCCCCCTAAGAACTCTACTGATAAGCAAATTTGGCTGAGTAAGAATCCTTCATAATTGCTTAGCAAGCAGAGCATCATTGAAAATCTTTAGGTTCCTAAACCCCAACCCCCCACAAGACTTGGGCTTTGTAAGCTCATCCCAACAAACCCAATGAATTTTACTTCCCCTTCATCATTTTTACCCCACCAAAAATTAGCAATAGCCCTGCAAATGTCATACAAATGCTAACAGTGAGTTTATAACATGACATCACATAAGTAGGTAGGGCCTCAAGAACTGATTTAATCAAAACATCTCTACCAACATTGCTAAGAAAATTGTTCTTCCAACTATTAAGTCTAGCAGTCACACATTCAAACACATACTTAAAAGTATCTCTCTTTGATCTGCCTATACCTAATGGAAGCCCTAAATATTTAGCATTACTCACACTTTGGATATCATTCAACAAGTTGCAGATTCTCACTTGGGAGCATAAAAGAGTATTTTTAGAGAAGAAAACTGAAGATTTATGCATGTTAACACTCTGATCAGATGCAGAACATAAGCATTCAAGAATATTCAAGATCAGCTCAGCATGAAAAACATCAGCATTGCAAAACAAAAGAGTGTCATCAGCAAAAAGGAGATGAGAAACAAGGGGTAAAACCTACTAATCTTAATGCCAGAGTAAAGAGATGCAATACATGCTTGATGGATCAAATTTGACAAAGCTTCAGACATGATTATGAACAAATAAGGAGAAATAGGGTCCCCTTGTCTGATACCCCTAGAGGGTTTAACAAAACCAAGAACATGCCCATTAATGTTAAAAGAGTATGAAACTGAAGATAAGTAGGCAGAGATCCAAGACAAGAACAAATCAGAAAAGCCCATTTTTTTAACAGAAAGTAATTAGGAAAGACCATTCTACCCGGTCATAAGCTTTTGCCATGTCAAGCTTAATGGCCATTAGACATTTGGACCCTTTCCTCTTGCTATTGAGGTAATGGATACACTCATTAGCCATGACAACATTATCAAGAATATTCCTCCCAGGCACAAAGGCAACCTGGGAGTCACTAATGCAAGGCTTGAACACAGATTTAATTCTATTGGCAATGACTTTGGAAATGATTTTATAGAGAACAGTGCAAAGGGCTATGGGTCTGAAATCAGAGACAAGAACTGGGTTGTGCTTCTTGGGGATTAGGGTTAGCACTGTGTGATTCACCCCTTTAGGCATTTGGCCAGACTCAAAAAAATTGATAATGGCTGCACAAAGACGCTCTTTAACAATAGACCAACAAAAGGGAAAGAAGAGAGTGGTTATACCATCTATACCAGGGGCCTTAGAGGGTTCCATTTTCTTGAAAGCTACAACATCTCCTTCTCAGTCACTGCACTAGTTAACATTTCATTCATGCCAACAGTGATAGAAACAGGAATTTCCATTCAAATCACACCCATCCACATCAGCAAGAGAAGAGCAGAATACATTCTGAAAATAGGACTCAAGAACACCAATAATTTCTCCAACATTGGCACATCTCCTACCACTGCCATCCACAAGGTTAGAGAGACAACTATTACATCTTCTCTGATGAACAGATGCTTGAAAGAATCTAGTATTCTTATCTCCCTCCTTAAGCCATTGATTTCTAGATTTGAGCTTTCAATAGTTTTCCTCATCCAAATAAGCTTGATGGAGCTATTTTTTTTCCTATGATTCCATTATTCCCAATTTCTCTGCTCACCTTGGGATTCTAAATTTTGGAGAGCAGTATGGTAGTTTTCTATCATAATAGCAGAGTTGGTAATATGAGTCTTTTTCCAATTCAGAAGGGCCACCCTAACATTCTTAATCCTAGCTTGCAAACTAAACAAGGCAGGGCCAGTTACTGGTTTATTCCAGGCCAAATCCACAGTCTCCTTAAATCCCTCTAGATTGATCCATCTAGCATCAAACACAAATCTCTTAGGATTGGATTTCTGGGTACAGTCAGTCTCCAAAATAAGCATACTATGGTCAGAGGAGATAACATACATGTGCATAACTAAGGCATTTGGGAAAGTGGAGAGCCATTTCTGAGAAAAGAAAAACCTATCCAACTTGGCCTCAATCAAATCAGCTTCTTAGCTTAGATTGGACCAAGTAAAATGATGCCCCACAGTACTAGTTTCAGTCATGCCCATGATGCTAATGAATTGGTGAAAATGAAGAAAGCAGCCTGATCCCTATTTCTCCCACCAGCTTTATCTTAATTAGACAAGATAGCATTAAAATCCCCACCCAAAAACCAAAAATCCCCCCATTGATTCTTAAGACTAGTCAAAACATTCCATTGCTCTGTTCTGGATTCAGAATCAGTACTGGAATACAAAAAGACACCTCATTAGATGATATCCAGACCAGCAATAGTAAACTTAATACCTATACGGAAATCAAAACTAAAAAACTCTAGAATAATAATATTTCTAGTGCCATTAGGTTTACAATACATCCATATATCATCAAATTTCAATCTTTTACAGACAGAAGCAACAATTTTTTATTCTTTTCTTATCTCAGAAAGGAAAACAATGTCTGGGATGTGAGCCTTAATGGCTTCTCGCAATTGGAAAATTGTAGAGGGTCCTCCCAAACCTCTACAATTTCACATACAAACTTTCACTGGGGACTTTGAGACCAATTAGGGCTGGTCTCCTCCACCACAACATTTTCAGTAAGATCAGACATTTTCAACTTTTTATTAGGGTCTCCACATATAGTGGAGAGCTCAGAGATTTGCAAACATTCACTAAGATTCCTCTTACAAAGGGGTTTCTTAGTGTTTAGAGTGACGGAAGAAGTATTACCCTCCTCAACTACCATATCTTTAGGGATTCTAGGTGAGACAGAATTAGTCCTTTTAGGAGTTCCCTTCTGTGATGGCAACTCTTTGCCCAATGGACACAGGCTGAATAGTGACATCCACCAAATTATCATCAGAGACCAAATCTGGGGGATGTGTAACAGGGATAGGATGAGGTGTAGTAGCTACAAAGTTTTCAGGTTCTTTCCCAATCTTAGAGCTACCACTCCCACCAATACAGTTAACCCCAATCTCCTGACCTATAGGGGAAGACCCACTCCTAGGTGGAGTGTCCTCAACCCCCACCCCCTGATTGTTAACCCCAATCTCTTTGTTAGAGATCTTTTAGAACCCCCAGTACCAGTGCCTCCCATGTTAGAAGATCTAAAGCTTCTGTTCATATTAGAGAAATAAGGATTTGCTCTTGGCCACTCCCCATATTGTCTTATATTAAGCACATTTCTAGATAGATCCTCTTTTTTCACTTGCCAACTTTTATCTATGTGCCCTATGAACCCACAGTAATAGCAAAAAGTTTGAAGACTTTCATACCTGAACTCTATCCATTGAGACTGATGTCCGAGCTTAAAATGAGTTCATCTCAGGATTGCCTCCCTCAACTTCAGCTCAACATGTAGTTTAAGGATCAGGCTATTTGGATCACTCGCAGCTGGGACCCTGACATCAAGAATCTTGCCAAACAATCCGTCTATCTTCAAGCCAATATCATAAGTTAAATAATAGAGGGGAATGTTATGGACTTGAATCCAGACCTTGATCCTCTTGTCTTCTTCCACAAACAGAGGAGGATCCGGGGTCCACTCCTTGAGTAGAATATACTGGTCATCAAAAGACCAGGTCTTGCCGAGGAGAATTTTATCCCTGTCCTCTGCTAGTTGGAAGATGAATTGAAACATGCTTTGCGCAAGATTCCTAATGGAGAAAGGTTTTGATGTCACCCAGATGTTACCCAATGTCACCTTGAGGCCACTGGAATTAGTCTTTTTATCCCCGAATATCTTGCCAATCAGACTTAGCCCACATTTTTTAACACCAACAGCGATATCCTGCTCCTCCACTTGAAGCCCATCCTCCTTCTCAGATAGTCTGAACTTTCTGAGCTATTTAGTTAAATCCTCCTCCATAACCTTCTCGAATCCAAAACCTAACTAGACCTAGGTATAGATGGCAACCACTCTGAGAAGGTAGAGACCTAAAACGACTAAGAGACACCTACACAACACCGAGATCGCACACATAAGAAAAGAGAGACAACGATGGGGAAGAAGCAAGAAAATCCTAATTGAGCAGCTAAGACAAGCGACGAGAAAAAAAAACCTAGACCAGAAAATGACCACCTATGATCAACATATCAACACTGAAATGCAAGCAAACAAAACAAGCAAAGAGATCAAGCCAGAAATCAAGAGAAAAGATGGAATAATAGCGAGAATCTACACTTGTAGAAAGGACTCACTCAAGGAAAATATCTCACTCCGGAGAACTCTACGTCTCTCTTTATAAGACGTATATAATCTAAAATGTGATCGTGAAAAATCAGGAGATTGACACTGTTGAGTTCCTTCACAAAGTTTTAATTATGTGCGTGCAATTAACCTTGAAATGAACAAGGATTTTCTTTGTTCAAAGAATTTTCTGCAAGATTCAAATACAAAATAAAACATGATCATTCATTTTTTGTCCCAAAATGGCTGCCATTAATACAAGTCAAGTGACAGCTTCTAATGAAAAATACTACTTTGACATAGACATGGCTGGTGTCTATTGACCAACCATTTGATGATGAGTCCGCAAGATCCGTTGAACATAGGTTTTGAGCTCCTAATGGTAAAACTTCGTAAACAAATTGGCGGGACCGGTTGTTCTGGATCTAACCCGCCAATTTTCCCTCCTATTTTAACTTTGAATTTGGATATACCGGTATCGTCCGAGCTGAGTTGCACATGACAACAGTTTGAATTTGAATTTGACCGCCAGATCTTCTATCGTTTAACAATTCACGGCTCAAATAATACAGATGACCATTTAATTATTTCTACTACATTTAATGATGTCCATATCGCTCAAAACATTGGTTGTTTTATTACACATGTTACCTGATTATAAATTTGGTCTACAAAAAATTAAATTTAAAAAAAATAAATAAAAAAGTTAATTATTTGTTTTAATCTTATATGGGGTTTATTTATAACATTGGCTTGCTCGTTAAATGCTCATATTTCCCCTCATTTTTCTTTATAAAAATATTCTACAAATTGAAACTAAAATACACAATATGGAAACACAAAAATGATCAATAATATATAGGGTAAATAATAATCTGCAACCTGTACTATACGCGAATTTTGGGTTTGCAACCTAAAGATTTTTTTGTATTAAATTGCAACCTTTAATACACATATTTGTCTATATGGCAACCTCCGGCCATCGGCGGCCCATTTTTCACCGGAAAAGCGCGCGTGTGACACACGCGCATCAAATTTGAGGGCAAAAAAGTCTTTTATCTCTCTTTCTCCTTTCTCTTTCATCTTCTCTCTCACACACACTCTCACGCACATAAACCCTAAAGAGAGCGCCTGGGAAAAGGAGTGCAGGGAACCGCCATCCGCCGGAAACTCAAGGGGACTACTTTGTCGCCGACGGAGTCTCCCACGGTCAAATTCTACTTCAATCTGGACAGACTTGTCGAAATTCAGATCTAAAGAAAAGCAATCGAAATTTCAGTAAATGTGTTCGATATTTTCCTTTGCTATGTTCATCTTCTTCGTCGCAGCCCCCATTTTTCCTTCCAGCGGCATCACTCTGTACGGCATCGCTTTCTTGAACGTCACTTTCATCGCCCTAACGAAGAAGAAGAACTGTACCTTTCTCCCTCTGCCTCCGTTCTTCCGCTGTCCTCTGCAATCGGGATATCATTTTATGTCAGCCTGGTCCATTAATTCCTCAACCTCGTGGCTGGCTCTGCCGCCTCTTTTTTCGTGAATTTCACATTGAAAGTCGTGAATTTCATGGGCCTCTACGATGACTACAGGGGCCTCCCGATCGAGAGATGGAATTATCTCGCTGTTATTCGACTTTGATTTTACTGTGTGTGTGAGAGAGAGAAAGAGAGGATGAAGGAGGAAGAAGGAAGAGAGATGAAAAGACGTTTTTGCCCTCAAATTTGGTACGTGTGTGCCGCACGCTATCTTTTTCGGTGATAAATGGGCCGCCGATGGCCGGAGGTTGCGATATAGACAAATCTGTGTATTAAAGGTTGCAATTTAATACAAAAAAATCTTTAGGTTGCAAACCCAAAATACGCGTATAGTACAGGTTGCAAATTATTATTTACCCTAATATATATAATCCACCGAAAAGAAAACTAAAACAAGCTCAAACGAGTCCAAGCTAAACACAAAGAATATAGAAAAAATATGTCAAAACACCACAAATATTTTAGTTATATCTTCCGGTTTTATTTCATAGAAAATGTTATATTAAATAAATAAGTAGTGTACAATGCAATAAACACCTTGACTTCAGCATTAAGGTTTTGAATGCTTAACACTCATATACTTTATACAAATAAATCAAATTCTCATAAAAAGCAAGGTCAAATTTTATTTCATTTAAAAAAAAAAAAAAAATTGTCTAATTTACATAAATGGAGACATGTCACTTCCTAGTAGCCTTAATGTCTTTTAAGTAAAGCAACATTATTAGACAGCCACTGACAATTTCATGGATGTCGTCACCACCAACACACATTATATAATGGTTATTGTTAATTATTTGCTTAATAAGAAAGTAATTATTATTGTTGTTATTGTTATTATTATTATTTTATTTTTTATTTGTATTTTTTTTTTTTTTGGCAAAATTGAGGGTGTGATTGTATAGAAAAACTTCCACTCAAAATTTTATTCAACTCAAAATTTAATTCAACTTTAACTCATCACTATGTTTAGTATTATCAATCTAATTAAATAATATCTTTCAATCATTCTTCACATCAACTTTAATTTACTATAGATCAACTCACATAATTTTATCTAACCATCACTTCATATTATCTCTCTCATACATCTTTATCAAAACAACTTTAATTATTTTATTTTAAATATTATTTTAATATAAATTCAAAATCTCACTAATTAACAACTCAACATACCATCTTTTTGAAAATTAACTCTGGTTAATCATAAAAGCAGTAGAATATATAGGCATCAGAGTGGTGCTTCAAATGAAGATACTGTGAGTATAAAATCTTATTATATTTTTTACTTGTTAAGTTTGTTTTTTATATTAGCTATGGTTAATTGTTTATCAAAAACTATAGATGCTCAAAGAAAAAGTGTTGTTCAAATAAGATTCCAAATTCAAATCTGGATGGAAATACGACCACGCTTGAGATATTATTTAGAACTTGGATAAATTTAAAGATGGAGCTACGAGGAGCACGAAAAAATAATCTTGTCATTATCTATCTTCGGAGTTGGAAATCCAACTCCCGAATCTGACCGACAAGAATCCCCAGACATTTCTTCATTTTCTCTAAATTTAAGAGACTCCGATCAATTTGCTAGTGATTCTTTATCTAAAAGACTTATTGGGGTGAAGAAAGTCAAACTAACAAGAAAAGTAAATGATGATTTATCATCGCTCATCAATGCTATGAAGAAAGAAAACAAAAAACTTGTTGAGGAGATGAAAAATGCAAACGTCCAAATAAAACACCAATTGAAAATATGCAACAGATCTCACACTTTAAAAGAACAGAGGGAAGAAAATAAAATTATGTTTCAAGATGTCAGTTCCATAGAAAATCTTAGAGTTTGAGCATACATTGAAGCTGAAAAAGCACAAAATTTGGAGAAAATAGCTCAACAAGCCCAACAAGTCCATTTCCAACCAATGCATTTGGACAATTTTTGAATGATCTTGGGGTAGTAGTGTCAACTTGCTAGATTACTAAATTGTCGTGTTTGTTTGTAGTTTATGAGTTTATGATGTATTTTTATTTTAGTACTGTGTGATGTTGTATTTCATTTCAGCACTAATATTTGAATGTTTTTCTTTATGTAATCTATCTTGTTTTCTTGTTATTTCAATATGTATTAGTAACGTTGTTGTTAATTCAATGTTAGTGTTTTCTACCCAAGAGCGCTTGGATGAGATGGCTTGGGTCTCTTCCAGCTTAACCAGTAGTCTCGTGTTCGAGCCCTGGAAATGCAGCAGTGTTAAAACTCTTGAGAGAGAGCTTTGCCGCCCTTGTGGTCCTACCCGACTCGATTCCGGATTAGTCGGTTCCCCTGTGGATCCAGAAACCGGAAGGTCCCTATACCAAAAAAAAAAAAAAAA